TCTTTCTCTGTTTCGTTCCTCCCGTGTTCGACCTCGGGAGGAATCGGCGTAAGGTTTCTCCCTCCTCGTCGCACGTGCCGCGGTGATACGTTCGCGTTCCTCGTTTGCGAATCGTTTTCTCCTCGTTGTTTCGACTGGCCCCGCTCCTTCCTTCTCGCTCTGGCGTTTTGTTCTCCGTCGCAGATGCTCGCCGGTGCCGACAACCTCTCCCCCCCTCCCCCATCTATCCAGGCAGCTCCGCGCGGATAATCAAGACAAGCTGACGAACATCGAAGTCTCGTCTGCTTACCGAAACCGTCTTCCTATCACTGACACCGATTACTAATTTCCATCACGTTTTACTCCTTACTTCTTTCTCTCTCTCTCTCTCTTTTTTAATAAAGAAAGTTGTTCTCCCTTTGAAGTTGTTCTTTCTCAACTCCTTAGCTACCAGTGTTGCACACTGGCGCAACGCTACTACGTGTTTTCAGAAGCGCATCAAACCCTGCTTCTTCCCTCTTTTCTTTTCTTTTCTTTCTTTTCCAGTCAAAGTACTCTCCGTTTTAATTCGAGAAACTAAAGCGCGTTTTCATCTAAGGCCTTGAGCGTTAAGAGATTAACAAAACGCTGCGAGTCATTTTATGCGGCGCTCAATTGCATTACACGAAGCGAAATACGCTAGGCAAGTTTCGATTACAAGTAGCGCGGAGTGAGCAGCAAAGGGGGTGGGGGTGGGGGCCGAGGCGGGGGACGGCGGGGACGGTGGAGAGGCGCTGTAATTTTTACGCGGAGGTTATATTTTCGGTTATCCAATAAAGTTGCGCGTTACTTGTTGGTTTTGGTATACTATCTTGTATCGCGGGTAGTTTCGAGTTTCTCGCGAACAGGAAACCGTATCATTTAGCGTCACCGTGCCACCAGCGAAAATGCATTAACTGGCAGTAGCTGCCAACATTGTGGCAAAGTGAAACCCCCTCGTCACGGTGTAGTCACCGTGTTAAAACAGAGCAACAATCGTCCGCTCCGAATACGGATATAATCCCGTCGGCATTCCTCTTCATTTTGTCCCTCGGTCCTCACTCCTTGTTCCTCGCTCGAAAACGAAAACGATTTCTCCGCTTATTAAACGAAACGACGCTCTTCTCGTGGGATGTAGCTTCGCGTTGGTTACACGAAGAAAAATAACCGGAACGTAAGCGGACGGTTGTAAGATGCAATTGTTGGCTGTATCGGTAAAGTACGTCGCGTAACTCTACTTTATCCAAAGAGTTAAAAGCGTATGTAAATTCGTGTATCAAGCTCGAGCCCTCTATCCGTGTTTCTGCAGTTTATACGTGTATATTCTACCATTGCATACATATTCATACGCGGCTCGAATTCCACCGTTTGTGTTACGTTTCGTTAAGGAACGTCGCACGGACAATAAGCAGCCTGTGAAAGAGAAAAGATCGAGAAATTGATTACCACATCGACTGTACGATTTGTAACAGGAACGCGTAGAAGGTGGACAATAAGTAGGCCTGTCGCGTCTTGCGCGATGACGAAAACAAAACAAAAAAAAGTATCTATTACATCCGCTCGAAGGTCATGCCTGGTTAGGCCAGATGGACACGCGTGAGAATTTAATCGTGTATTTATAACAAATATATAAATTTAATATGTATATGTATGCATAACGTGTATATATTTACATACAATATTTATAACCGATTGTGAGGTGATACCAAGGTGTAAAAAATATGTCGAAAAGAAGGAACAAAATTTTTTTATTAAAGCCGTTGTTTTCGAAAAAATCGAGTTTGAAGATCTATCAAATAGGTAATTCTTAACAAAACATATTCGAAGTTTATTTTCGTGAAAACGATGTCTTGAACGAAAAAAATTTTATTCCATATTTTTCACTTATTTCTGCACGTAGAATATCTACGTGTCGATTATTCCAGTATGCAATTAGCCAAATTCGAGCGTAGTTGATAAATTTTCGAATTCGATTTTCCCCAAAAGGGAAGGCTTCAGTGAAAAAATTTATACGCGCATTTATAAATGTACATATATACATATATGTACATATATACATATGTATATATTTATAAATATATTTATAATAAATGACGATATTTTGAAACAATCTGTAACGTGAACCGATGTTTGCGTCGATTGTGAAAACTCGTTCCCACCTTTTCCTCTCTCTCTCTCTCTCTTTTTTTAATTGTTTCATTTTCATCGAATTAAAAAAAAAAAAAAGAAAAATTAACTGGTATTTGTTCGGAAGCATTTGAAAATTTCAATGAATTTTTAGCCTGACGGTCGACGGTGAAAAACGATTTCATACGATTCAATGCGATCCGGCTGGAAACGAATATTTTTTTCAACATTTTTACCTGTTGCTATTTTCGTGCTTTCATCCCCCGACCTATCGCAAGGACTTCATCCGTGAAGCTGTATACAACGGGATGCTGTGCCGTCAGGCCAGCTCTCGAACTTTAAAATCCTCGTGGGCGTTCTCGCGTCGCGTCGGCGTACGCTCCGAGCAGTTTCCATGGCGATCGGTCACGGTGACCATGATTTCGACCTGACGTCATTGCCTCGGAAAGGACAACCACGTGCTGCGGACGTGTTGTCGGTTAACGAGTTTTCCCTGTAACGATTTTTCACCGTTACGTCACGAAGAAAGTACAGTTGGCGTGGGTTATGCGTGCAACGCTATTCGAATAAAGAAAAAGGAAACAGTAAAAAAAGAAAAAGAAAAAGAAGACACGTAAGTTGTACACATACACGCACGTACATACGTACGTAAGTAAAATTTACACGATTGTGGGTAAATACGATTTAAATACGATAACAACACGTGGCAGTTAGGGAATAGGAAAAAACACTATCTGCCAACAACTTGTAAACAATAACGTATTCACTTGGCCAAGATTATCGAAAATACATATCGCTAATTGGTGGCGTCAGTTTTAAATAGGATCAAGAAACTGTGTACGTGTACATAAACAATGTAACCTCGCTAGAGCGTATTCCAATTGCTGAACGCTAGCGTAAGTGTAGTGCCAACTTAAAAACCTATATATTTACATATTATCGTTCTAAATTATAGTAATATATTGTTAAAATAATTGTAAAAAAAACTGTGTATTTATTATATATATATATATTTTTCGTTATGTAATATACATTAGTGTATGTTATTTATTGTACATATATTTGTATTGTATTTTTATATTTGTATTTATTATATATATATATATATATTTGTTTCGTTATATATGTATTTATTAGATATATATTTCGTTATGTAAGATATATTAGTGTATGTTACATGTATCATGATATAATAATACAATAAATAATTCGGTAAATATTATATATCGTGTATTAAAAAATATTATTATATGTATATATAATATTATGTAATATTATTATATGTATATATAATAATTTTTTATCCTATTTACATTTAGTCGAAGGAATCATTTATTAGTTAGCCATTAAGGAGGAATGTTCTCAAATAAGTTATTGCGCATGTTGCACAAACTTGTTCGTTCAAACTGAGAAAACATGCGCTCTGTCAGAGATTATTTTTGAAAAAATCGATATCCCTCGCGTCAATGAGCGGTTTTCAAAGAATGATAGTGACGTCGCGGCAACTACGTTGTTTCGCATCGTTATATCGCAATTCACGACGATGTAGTTTGGTCATCCGGAGGTCAACACAATTCTATGAAGTTTTGATTCTATGAAGAAAACAGATACGTTTCGTCGTGAATTTGTCAGTCTTCTAAAAATTTACTCGACTTTTCGGTCGAATCGATAACGCGTGAAAATGAGATAAGATAAATTTTCGGTATTTATGGAGCATTCGTGTAGCCGGCTTACGTTGTATACTGAAATACCGACCGCGCAGAGTGTCAAATTCAAGCAAAAGTTTTTGTCACAACAAAAAAAAAAAAGATATTTACTTTATTAACACTTTTGGAAATTATAAATTGTTATTGGGTGGTTTTTGACGCTTGATTTGAAATTATCTTACTTCTCACTTTTGTCCATGTTATTGGAAATGATACTACATTGGAGTAAAGAAAGAAGATGCATCGCGCGACGTATTGTCTACGTGGTATTTTATCTATATAATTTAAAGAAATTGGAAAGTCAACGATGGAAATTTTTTATTCATTTCTTTCCCCTTAAGTTCGACGTTTTCGGATCCTCGATATTTTCATTGTTCGGTGCTCGAATAAATCAACCGTACGTGATTCATTGGGATGACGTTTAATATTTACCGAGGGGAGAATATTTAATGATTTGAAAAGTATCGTGGCCGAGGATTCCTTGCGTCGCGAGCGTAGACAGAAGTAGGCCATGAACGTAGATCGAATTTGAAGTCGGTACGGTGAAACGGGGTTATACGACGCTGTCCTTTATGAATCCATCTGGAACGCTGTAGTATTTCCCGAAAATTGTCGTGTTTCCTAAAAACACGTCGCGTTCGTTGTTAGCAGATACGTATCGCAAAGGCAGAATTGATATATGACATCAGTGTGATAAAGCGTACAATTTCGAATACACGAAACTAAATAAATAAATATCGAATGGCGATAATCATTTTGTTAATAAACACGAAGCGACGATTGGTAAATAAAATATTCAATTATGACACGATGTAATCCGATACAACGTCAGATATTACGTAATTTAAGCGTAGTGTAATAGTTACGTAAATGCATGCACGCGAATTTTTTTTTGCCCGAGAAATTAATTCGTGTAATGTTAGAAACGGCGAATGATTTAGAAAATGATCGCGACATCTAACGCGAACGAAACCACCAATAAAAATGTGGTCGTTCGTTGTGTCGGTCATACAGAGATCTAATTTATCTAACGATATCGTGCTTTCGTTAGCGCTATAGATTAATCGAGTTACCGAATATATATAAATAATTTCAGGAGATTTATTAAATTTTCGTCAGATTAAAATTAGTTCGTGAGCTGTTTTTGTCTGTCTGCAGATGGCGACACTAGTCGCTTCAAGCGAATGAGGAAAACCAATATGGCGTAATCCACTCTTGATTAATGTGTTGACCGGGTAACCTGTTGTGTTGTTTTCCCATTAAGAAAATTCAAGTTTTGTCATCTAGTTTTCAACGACACTGCCGAAATATGACTCCGTTTAGATTGTACAAGTCCATCAGAAGTTTTTCAACGACTGTTGATAAGATTGCTAACCTCGTTAAGGTACGTTTACATTTGTCAATGATTTTATTATTAAATGAATGAAATATATAAATATACGCCTAAATACTGATCTGTTACTGTTGATTTACGTCGAATCGCGTGATATAGATCTTTGTAAAAATCATAAGCCGATTAAAACTGTTACTAGTTGGAAGTATGCATAGAGCTAACACTGTATAGACTGTTGGATGATTTCAATTAAATGTCAATTACGTTTTACAGAAAAACAAAGTCGTTGTGTTTATGAAAGGTGTTCCGGACAGTCCTAAATGCGGCTTTAGCAATGCCGTTGTACAGATATTGAGGATGCACGATGTCAAGTATGACGCTCATGACGTTCTCGAGGATGAATCGCTTAGACAAGGTTAATATTCTTTGGGTGATCAGTGTTGAAACTAAATTTTGTACCTAGTGAATTCAATTTAATTCTTGAGCCACTGCCTATTATTTATGGATAGAAATCCTTTGGTACGATAAAAATAAACAAATGAAACTTATAATGCAAAAAAATAACAAAAGTATTAAAAAAGAACAATCAAAGTATGTAAATCAGGGATTGAAGAAATCAAGTAACTTTTAAATGGGTTCCGTTTAAAGTATGGATTGTAAAACTTCGAAAAATGTTCTTGCATTACAAGTTAGAAATGTTCTAAAGAATAAAAGTTTCAGACAGAATATAACTTGTAAAATATAAGGATAAGGATTTTTCCATTAGATAACTTGTTCATCAGTATTAAAAAGATTCTCGATATTTATAAAAATACTGACACTTAATAGTAATGTAAAAATGGACTTTTGATTAAATGTTCCAAAATAACTTCTTTTCATGCAACTTTTATTGTACAGATTCCAGAAATATCTGTCCTATAAAAACACTGTTCAAAAGTGTTTCTATGTGTACTTTTTTATAAAAATTCCACAGAAACAGATACATTTAAATATACAATTTCAAACAGGATTTTTTTAAAAACTTGTTAATTTCGATTCCTGATGCAAATATAAATGAGACTAGAGTAATGTGTAATTTAAATAATGATGTCTAGGTATCAAGGATTTCTCTAACTGGCCTACGATACCACAAGTATTCATAAATGGTGAATTCGTGGGGGGATGTGATATCCTCTTAGAAATGCATAAAAACGGTGAATTGGTAGCTGAATTGAAGAAAGTCGGTATCACAAGTGCACTGTCGGAAAACGAAGGTTCTCAGGAGAAGAAGAGCAAAGATTGAGGATGCTCGACTGTTTAGTGTGTTTGTAAGTTGTAAATAAAACGATCATTCGACGATAGTTATTGAATTTTGTTACAATAAAGTTGTTTTCGTTTACATAAAATCGTTCTGAGAACGACGTAGTTTTTCAATGTGCGAGTACGAGTGACGAAAGGACATGGCAGAAGTTGAAAGAAAGGGTCTTGTCTGTCAATAACTTGGTGTCACGAATCTTAAGGGATCACGAGCGTTTCGTTAGCGTGTTACGAAATTTATTATCGCGTGCTTCCTTCGAACAGAAAGGAACCAGAAGTACCTGAGAAAGAAAAAAGTGGATCAAGGTCGATCGCGTGTCGCGACAATGGGGGCTGCCATTCTGCTTGCACGTGCACGCGTGACAACATATTCTTCCGCATTGCGTTTGCCACAATTTAATGGCCTCGTGTACAGTTTTTAGATCTACACTCACAAGAGGATTTTACCAAATAGAAAAATTTTCCACTTCGATCCTTTTTTGTATTAACTCTAGCGTGCCCTAAATCCATTATTACAGAACTTTAATCTTTACCATTTAAATACCTGTGTATGTAAATATTCAATTTAATTTTAAATAATTTTGACGATCAATTGTTACTTGACTACGGCATGGAATCTGGCTGAAAAATTGTTTTACCTACCAAATGTTATATAATTACATATTTTTGCATATAATTATGTAGATATTTTCGCATATCCGAGCACATTCTTCATAAACGCGTAACAATCGGTAGGATACCCCTGTTTCTGCTGGATCGATGCCGAACGATTAATCAATAAGCGAACTGTTTCATTGATTTTGAATAGGTGCTGCGTAAGTGAAGCGTACGTAAAAGTCCATTTGGCCACCAGCCAATTGACTCTCCGAGTGTATCTTACTCCCTCCAAGTGGCTGACGATCGCGCGTAATTAATACCGTTGGATCGTTTCTTCTGCTTCCGCTCGAACGCACCCGGGTTCGTGTGAATACGTGACTGAACTGAACAGCAGTTAAATACTCAAAAGCGGAGAAATAATGTTCTTCCCTGGTTTATATATATTGTATAAACCGAATCGGATTATGGATTGTAATGATGCTACTTTGTGAAATGTTTACGAGCAGGAAAATGCTGAAATACTAATTGTGGGCTAAATATCTTGGTTAGTTGACCATCTTGTTGCTATTGTTAAACATTTTTATAGATCACGAGTTCTATTCGCTTCAGAGAAGATTTTCAGGGGGCGATGTTTGATGGTAGACGTATTCAATTTACGCGATTAATCTGTAATAGAAAAATTATTTATTATCATGTAGTCGTAAATTATATTGAAGTTAATCAATTAACATTTGAAATTGTTATAAATAGATCATAACGTAATCCATAGAATTACCTATTGGTTAGGAATTTAATTTATTGTTGAACGCATTAAATAATTATATTTGTTCAACTGATGCGTCTGTTAATAAAACATGGCTACCTCTTCCGCTATGTTTGTTTCATCTGGAAGATCTTTATAATCATTTCTGACCTCTTTAAATCCTTCTGTCAAGGAAATTAATTTATAAAAAGAAGCATTAAAATAGAATAATTATTTCGTACCGTAGAAGTTGTCACGCTTCGCAAATAATATTAAAAATTCCTTCCTCGAGGAAATCTCCTATTGATTGTCCTGAAAACATAATCAACGCAAAAACAGATCGTCTGTACTCGCGTATACCGTTAAAGTATCGGATATCAGTTGCCACTCTGTCCGTAACGAACCAAAACTATTGACAGAACGGATCACTCTGTGTTGACGTGCAAAAAAGTGGCTCGGGCTTTAAGCGATCATCTCGACGATTAAATCGCAACGATTTGTCCTGCGTCTGTGTGACTGTAAAAATGAATAAAAAAAAAAAAAAAAGAAGAGAGAAGGAAAAAAAGTGTGGTTAAAAAGCTATATCGTACAACGTAGGATGGCACATCATTAACGAGCACGCGAGTCCCCGCTTCTTGATGACAACGAAGGAAGCATTGATATTCGCGGCACGATCGTACACCGTATTATTTCGCTTTTTCGCCGGCGCAACGAGGGGGGGACGGGCGAATCTCTGCGCGACTCGTCATTTGGTATGCCATTAATTAATTTGGGGCCGAGAAGAGGCAGCCAGACGCGGCTCGCAATTAGTGTCAGAGAGAATCAAAGTGCGCGCGCGCGTGTGCCGCGGCTGTTCACAGTGTAAATATTCCGTCGGTGAACGCCGAAATGTCGGGGGGCTCTTCTTCACCGGCAGATTTTGTTCTCTCTCTCTCTCTCTCTCATCGCTTCACGAGGTAACCTGTCCCTGGAAGAACGTTGGAAGTTGCCTTTTGTCACCGTTGGAAACTCAATTCCGCGGAATTCTCACGTACCTCTTATTTTTCGTTCTAATTGCAGAATCTTCGTTTGGCCAACTTTCGCTTCTATATCATCACAATATGGACGTACCACTTTGCGTTCTCTTCTTTCCATCAACGCTTTTTTATCGCTGGTATTTTTTTTCTTTTTTTTTCTATCCTCGAATGAAAATGTTTTTTTTTGTGTGCGTTCCTAAAATTCTTCCTTTTCTCTTTCTCGGACTTCACAAACGAATTTGCAAAGACAGAGCGTACCGGATCCGCGGGAGCCAATGGAAACGGGTCGGCAAGGTGGCGCCCTCCCCTCGACAACTTCGATCGGACGCCAACCAACTCTCTCTTTCTCTCTTTATTCTTCCCCCTTTGTCTGTCTTACTCCTGTCGCCTTTTCAGGAACGTTCCAATTAAGCTTATTACCCTGTATAATTCACCATCATCGAATTACTTTCCGAATTCAATCAATCCTTTGACCGTTAATGCCTAGTAAACTTAGACCTCTAACGCTAAAAGAAGGGGGGGAAAAAAAAGAAGAACTTGCAGAGGTTCTATCCTGCGAATTTACAATGGGAGCACACAGTTCGTCACTCGAGCGAGATTGAATTTCCCAAACTTCATTTTCCAAGTTCTGGTTCGTCGGGTTAGATATCTTTGAAGCTGGCAAGCCGCCTGCGTCCTTCTCAAGAGTGCTGGCGTTTTTTCGTTTTGTTTTCTTTCTTTTCGCCGACGGAATCCGCTTCTCACCGATTGACGGGAGAAATCTTGAAACGAAAAGGAAACTTCATTAACGTGACACGCTCGACGGGAGTGGCTGTTAGACGTGGGTCAACTTCGTGGGTCGTTGAAGTAATTAAAGGGTCGTTGGTTAAAACGGTAAACAACTCGGCCGGAAATTTGCGGATAACGAGACGCCCCTGGCGGCGCTGGTGGCTCGTTTCGCTTCCGCGTTTCGCTCGCGCGAACACGCACGCACGGTTCCCCGGTGGTGGAACAGCCTCAGTCGTAAAGTCAGAGTCGAAGAACTGGGAAATTGGAGGAAGCATTTGCTGGTGATTTTAAAGATATTCCAGGCACGTTAATGCCTGATGATTTTTACGATTTCGTTCTTATGAGGCGTAACGTAATCGAAGCGTCGAAATTTTGACGAAATTTGGCTTAAATGTAGTTCTCGAAAAAGATATTCGACACGTATTTTTTTTTTTTTTATTGGCAATCGTCCATACCGAATGGATGTTATATTTCAAAACAATTATCTCATCATTTAATGACCGATGATTTAATGATATTTAATCTTGAAATTATTAATTTAAAAAAAAAAAAAACGACGTCGCGTATCGATTTCGCGCGGAATGTATTACAATCGGTGGATAGCGGATGTCCGTCAGATTTCATGTTTTTACGACGGTGTATATGGAAAGTAGCACGAGCGACGAAATTTTTAATTCCAGCAAAATTTGTGGGCGAAGCTTTATCTGCACGCTTTCAAATGTTAAGTAGCTTACTGAACGTAGTCATAAACGCTTGGAAATTCGGTTACGAAATCCACGAGGTAAATAGGGATGTTACGTATTTATCTCGTTTTCAAAGAAAATATATTTACACTACTACCTTCTCATTGAGGCCAATTCTACGAGAGAGTTGTCGAAAATATTCTTTTCAAATATCTCAAAATTCGCAATTATTTCTATCTATCATCTTTTTTTATGAAAAATTTACGAGATGAAGATTCTTTTCCTGAAACGTTGAACATTATACTATAACACACTACAATCATGCTATACTACAGTGTACTATATATTATTATAATATATATATTACTATACTATACTATATATTATATATATTATTATCATAATATATTCGTATATATTGCTATACCATAATATACTACAATCATAGTATTTTCACAATGTGAAACTAATGATTCAGTCAAAGTAGAAAATAGAATCGATCAATTCAGCTTCAGCTTTCAACAGGCTCACGTCGCATTAGTAAAGGGAAACAATGGTGTTTACCTGCTGAACCGAAGCTTCTGAGATCCTCGTCTATTCAGTATATTAGTATTTTTTTTCTTCTAGTCCATTACACTAAGGAAAAAAAATAAGAACTTGTTTTATTAATGTTAGTTTAACTAGTGTCCTTTTTTGAGCATTTTTCATTGCATAAATAGTGTGTAAAAAATTCTGATGTTTTCTGTTGTAGTTTGTGGCAACACACGGTTGCGAGAAAGAAAGAAAAATGTTGAACAAGCGTATCAGGCCCGTGTTTAGGACGTCGAATTAGACAACAGGGCAAACAATGGATACCACATAAAACATGTGTTGAAAACTAGAGTCAATCTAGAAAAATTAACAGCACATTTGTAACCAGGAGCTCCTAATTATTCGACTCATAAATCTTTGACTAGTTGACTGTTCCACGGTGTTATAATCTACTCCACTGCAGACTTCAGTCATTCAGACATTCTTCCAACTTTTCTCCTCTTTCTGCTTTAATTACGGACTGACAAGCGTATCACGTGCCCTCCATTAACCCAATAAGCGCAATAAGTTCGTCAGGTGTTCGGTCAGAAAACGGTCGAAAATTCCTGCTTCTTCCGCTCCGTGACCGGATGTTCCAACTCTGCACAGCACAAAATTCAAACGAGAGTAATCGTCGTCTCTGCTAGCACGTGCTCGTCCTTAGGGTTTCACTTCGTTTTTTGTTTGTATCATAGAAGTTTGCTGGCAACGCGGGGCAATGTGGGTCACTGATGATCCACGTGGCACGGAACGTGACACGGGGGAGGAAACTAAAGACTCCTTTCTTCACGTCACGTATTTTTATCTTTTAACTTCTCCGATACGTTTGTCGCTCGTGCCGCATATCGGCGCAAGATAAACGTGTGCACATGTACGTACACTTCTGTGGCCGTGAGTATACTTATTGATTACATCTGTCGGAGAACAGCAGCAAATTCTTGCACTCAACGTGACACGTTGGTATTTTAGCATGCGAAGACTACAAAACAGAGAAAAAGGCAAGTTATCAAGTTGTTTTTTATGAGAAAGAAATAAAATTCAATACGTTGTACGTTAGTTCCTCTTCAAAATTCTCTCCCTTTGTTGGGATAAAACTAGAGATTTTCTCGCGTTTCGAAGCGACGTCATTCTCTCTTTTGGAATCTAGAACATATATTTGTGATACCATTGAAATCAAGAGAACATAAATTTCAATAATTTACGGACCATTTATTTATCGAAAGCATCGATTACTATAAATATTTGCGGTCTAATAATTCATATGCAATTCACATTTGTCAACGACTTACTTGCCATCATGACATATTGGTAATTAAAATCCGGAGCTTCGTGATTATTGGGAACCATAATCTCTCCCCGTCGGGAGCATCGAAACGATAAAGCACGTTCTTAAATGATGCAAAAACAATTTACAAAGCTGCAACGTACGACGTTCCTGAAAAAGAAAAAAAAAAAAACAATCATAGTTCATCGAACAGATGCAAACACTGGAAATTCAACGATTTACCAAGCTGTACACGGACAAGTATCACAAGTATCAAGATACTTACACACGAGTAAGAAAATGATTAATCGACAAGATTATAGTCACATCAGTCAGAAGTACTTACATATTCTTAAGTACATGCATTCAAGTTCAAATCAACCTACACATTAGTTCAATATGAAACACGAGAAACCTAAAACAACGAGAAAATGATTAATCAATGAGATTATAGTCACAGCAGTTCACAGACTAGCAGAAGTACTTACATATTCTTAACGACGATGCATTCAAAATTATGATACTTATACAGTGGTCTAATAGGAAACATGAAAAGTAACCTAAAACAACAATGGAATGATTAATCGACGAGATCATAGTCACTAGCAGAGGTATTAGGGGTACCCCGTGAGTAAATGTGTTTGTAAACGTTTTTTGTTTCATATCAGTCAGCCTTTCAGTGACCACTCTGTATATACTAATTACTTTATACATAACTAATATACTTTTATATTACTTTACACAAGTAATATAAATGCATATATGCTGATTCACATTTTTATACATTTATGATACTTTGAGCCAACAATTAGCTACAACGGCGTACGTGGTTCCAATATTCAACAAAAGGAAAAAAAGAAAAAGAAAAAAAAAAGAAAGAAAAAAGCAAGTTGTCGTTCGTTGGGAAAGGGGGGTTGGCAAGTAATCCAAAAGGAATCGCGAGAGGAAATCAGGCGCGAGCGCGAGCGCCACGGGGATTAGAAGGATGCGTGATGGTGGCGGGGGAGTGAGGGTGGAAGGATCGTCACAGCGGTGACGGCGCGTTGTCGAGGGGGGTGGCGCGTTGAGTCGGGGGTAGTCAGCGCCTCTACAGAGGGTGAGTCTCAGTCGCCAATCGGTCAGCCTGCCGCACGGCTGGGTCTCGGGATCCCTGTGCGCGAGTATACGCTGATCAGCGCGCGCGCGCGCGCGCCTCGTTACTCGTCACACACGTACGTACGCGCGACCAGGCAAGGACAACAACGGCGACGACGACGACGACCACGACCACGACGACGACCACGACCACGACCACGACGACGACGACGACGAGGACGACGAGGACGGGACAGCAGCAGCGGTGGTTGCTTTCGATGGACGAGAGTGGCGACGAGAGAGGAAACGGAAGAGAAGAATCTGAACGTTGGACGTGCCACGAGAAAGAGGAGGAAGCATCGAGGAAGTTGTACATGGCCGATCTGACATCGCGATCCTCCTCCTCTGTCTAGTCGGAGTATAAGCGTTCCCGAACGCGTACCGCAACCGGTCAGCGCGTGTGCACCCGACCACGATCGATCCTCGGGGCGATACGATCCAGAAACGCGATGGACGGAACCACCCTGCAGCTTAGCAAGCAGCGCAGATAACGCCTACGGAGAAGATCTACTTCCCTCGTACGGATACGTATTTACAAATCGGTACGATCACGAGACACACGAGACTACCCAGGCTCGATTCCATTTTTAATCGCAAGTTTTATAGCGCACGACGTACGACGTTGACAATGCTGCCTGCTCCTGGAATGATCGTTGCGTGGTCGCGTGGTGCGCCACCGAACTCTCCCTTTCTCTTCCCCCCCCCCCCCCCCCCCTCTCCCACCGAGCCTCGAGAAAAGACTTGTCTTGTCCTCACGTTCTTCTCTCTTTCACCTGCCTGCCTCCAATCGCGTGGATAGCTCGTTTTGCCATTGGTTATTGATCCCGGTGGAAATTGTAGCAATGCACACCGAGAGTAATCCGAAGGTAATTGCTGGCTAGGTAGGAGAGCTCGACGAGCTCGGTATTTAACGCTTGCGAGTGGACCGCTCCAGTACGTTCGACTGATGGACGAAGATGCGTGGAGATTATGGCGTGGTGCGTGGAGACGAAACGACGAACGGTGTGGAAGTTTGCAAGGGGCAAGGTCAGGAGAGACGCGGCGGTGGCGGAGCCGTAAAATTCCTCTCTTGATCGAACCGTTCGTGGACGTTCGACGGGGCTGCGTTGAGTAGAGAAGGAAGTAGAGGAGTGGAACGCGTGGATCAATCGGCGGGCTAACCTCTAGAGACGCTGTTGGAAAGCGTTCGTTGAATAGGTCAGGATACCACTGTCTGTCAAAAGAAAACAGAAAGAACATCGTGAGCCTTCTCGACACAGTGATCTTTACATAGTTGTATAGGCGCATATAGTTATAATTAGATGAGCGCACATCTGTTGAGGGAACTTTTCTCACGCTCTCGCCCACTAACCTTTTGTCTCTTTCCTCCGATTTTCAAACATTCGTTTAGAATGTTAGATTTGAATCGCAACGCCGCGAGTTGTAAATTGAGGATGACATCCTCTGCCTTTCGAGAAGTGACGAACGTTTGACGAATTAAAGGCACTTGTCGGCGACGATTTGTCACACTCTCTGTCGGAGATCGGTCTGATCTCTTTGAAGGCGAGGCGGACAAAAGGGAACGACCGATCGTTCCTACGGGTCTGCCGCAATTCTGCATCGGCCTCTCTATCTGAAGCGAAAATATTTGGGTCACCGGGGGTCAAGGAGGGCCGGAAATTCCCCTCGATTTCACGAGATTCCTCCTTCATTCCTGATCTTCGGTCGAATCTGTCTCAAAGTATTCCCTCCCTCGTGAAGAAAGAGTCTCTAGTTCTTAACCTCTTGCGTTAATAACTGGTTCACGGACCATAACGAGTGACCAAACCTGTATATACAGTCTCCTTTTTGAATTCATCGGTATATCACTGGATAGAAATGACTAAGAAGTAATGAATTTATTATTTGTTTCGCCTGGATTGTATTTCAATATACTTGATGTTGGATTAAATAATCGCAGCGAGCTGATAGTTTATATTAATTTGTGTATAATATATATTTTCTTGACACACAGTTTGATACACTTTACTTGCACATGGACAAATTTAGACTGAGGACAACGACTCATACGCTGCACAATATACCTAACGTACATTTACATAAATATAAGGAAGATGTCGCGATTACAATATGTATTGTTGATAATCTAGAGATCTACCGATACCCAACACTTTGAACTGAGAAAATATTGCAATTCTGGGCCGAATATTCTCGACGTGCGTGGCACGTTACTCCAGCGCAAGAGGTTAAGCTTCGAATCTTAGAAAATTAAACGTTTCGATTCTCGATCCTCCATTCTCTTCGTCGTTTCATTTACCTTAACAAAATCAAAATCCCACCTCAGGTGCCAAGCTTCGTCACCGTCGTGAGTCGATCTACGAGCAGGACAACGTGCACTTGCGGAATCAACGTGATTAACGTCTCGTATACGTGTATGGACGTCTTTCTCCATTTCTCGAAGATTCGCGCGCGCAACTGCGAATCGACCAGACGAATTAATTACTAAAAAAAATTACTGCTCGAATAATTAATTATTAAGTTCGAGAAATTGTTCTTTGTATGCTGCAAGTGTTAAATATTCGTGCACCAGAGCTCGAATGAGCCAGTGATTTCATGACGTCAGAGAAACTTCTCGCGGGCTCACCGGAGGCATTGTCGGCCGAGCCGAAACAAAAGGGGGCGATTTCGACAACGTTTACGATGATTATCGCCCGTGTTGCCAGAGCCTTCTTTCACCAGTGACGCGCGGTTTCTGGATTTCTGCCAGGTTCACAGGTCGCTGGATTCGCCGGATTCGGTGTGCGTTTCCGATACGGGACCGTGCCTCCTATCCTCGTTTACACTCGTTCTCGTTACGTTTTCGTCTCCTCGACGAGTCTCTTCAACGGGGACACTTTGCTTTGGAATTCTTCCTTTTCTGTTTGTCCGTGACACCGCGTTACTGAACAAAGTTAAGCGAACCAGAGAGCTTTTGTCTTCTTACGATGGCACGAGGATCGTTGATCCAATTAGGCAAAGCGACGACAAGGGACGAGCGATGGGATTATTACTCAGAATGAAGGGAAGCAGCTAGCAGTCATGGGACTCTTCCTGAAACACACCATAATATCATAAGAACAATGCGAATTCTAGACTGAGTTTCTTTGTAAATAGAGCAGCTTGTGTTAAGACACTCTGCTTAAAATATTCTGTCTAATCTAATTTATTTTAATACTGGTTATTTTGAAATATCTCTCTCCTGATGTCAGACTAGTCTCTGGTTATGACATTTCCCTTGAAATTGTTTCAGATATTGTTAATAAATTCCTGATATGTCCAGACTTACGTTAGAATGTAATTTATGTTCTCTCTCTCTCCCCTTTTTCTGATATTGGTTAGACTTGAGTCAAGACATTGTTGATGATATATATATATATATATAGTGATGCATCTTGAGATTGTCTTTTCTGATATTTGATAATAATATTTCCCTTGGTTTTCCCTGATGTCAGACTAGTCTTTCGTTATGATATTTCTCTTGAAATTATTTCAGATGTTGCAATACAGTTATATAAATTCCTGATTTGTTCTTTCTGGTATATCCAGCCTTACATTGTAATGTAATTTATGTTCTCTCTCTTCCCTTTTTCTGACATTGGTTGGACTTGAATCAAGACACTATTAATGATACATACATATATATAGTGATGCGTCTTGAGATTGTCTTTTATGATATTTGGTAATATTTTCCTTGGAATTATTTGATCGGACAATTCTTTTTGAAATATCGCAACACAGCTTACGAATTTTCCTCCCTGAGAAGCATTCAGCCTTGTAACCTTCACTTTGAAGTTTACAATTCTAAATATTCTCCTTCTTCTTTTCCTTTGTGTTCGAATACGCTTCATGGTATGTGAGTTTTCTCACCAGATAAACATTCAGCGAATCGTTTCACTCTGCTCTTCTGGACGTTCGTGTGTTGCAGTCGGTTAGCAATCGTTAGTCAAAAATGATAAACGCACGGTGGAGAGATCGCGTCGCGGTGTCCCGCTGCTCCTCTTAGCTCACCGACAGATTGGGTTATGAATTTTCCTGGCCTCTCGTGGGAAATCGAAAACCGTATACCTTGTTACCACATTCGGCCCGAATATTATTTTGCGCGTTCCGCATCACCGACCTCTCGTCTCCACATCGTTCAGGCTTTTTATATCAGTCTTCTTCATCCTTCTTCCAGGAGAGAGAGAGAGAGAGAGAGAGAGAGAGAGAGAGAAAGAGAGAGAGAGAGTTTTATCCGTTCCTTTCATCCGTCAAACCTCCACGATCTTTCACGCTGCTAAGTTCATCCGTCTTTCTTTCAATTTTCATTTTGTTTCTCTTCTTTTGTCCTCGGCGTCGGTTTCTTGATCCCGCTTATCCCTTGGAACGTGAATCGTTTAACTTTACGTTCATTCTTATCAATCTGGACGTCTCTTTTTGTTCCCTGAGTTGCGAAACTCTGAAAAAAAATAATTGGAGATTAGTAACATCTGTTTAATCTGAAGTTCTTTTGAACATACTACGCTTACGTGTCTCAAATATTCAAATGATGGAATGTTATGTAAATAGTTATCTCTTAAAATTCGAAACGTTCTAATAGATGTTAATGACTAGAGTGCAAGACTTGTAATAGAAGGATTCAAGACGAAACACATGTGTGAAGTATTACACAATCCAAGGGGAGAAGCTTTTATCCACATCCTTAAAAGTTACCAAAAATCCCTGAAAGATGCATCTGCAAAATGTCCACAAAGAAAATTCTGAATTATTCGTTTCAACTGCTCCGAGTAGAGCCAGTGTGAAAGGAAGCAGAAAATCGTCCACTCGGTTCCAACTGGAGAACCTTAGTACGATAGTAGACTCTAATCTACCACATCCTTTCCTTAATCTCCAAAGATCATCTACAGTGTCGCAGCGTTCCACGTATGTACTCCCTGTTACTGTCGGTTATCTCCATCATCAAGAGACCCCGAGGGAAAAACGTAGTAAATTATTTTCACCAGTTTCTCAAGCGGAGAGCATTCCATTGTCAATCGAGTCGAAATAAATCCCAAGTCGAATGGTCCAAGAATGTAACGGTGGTAGGGCGAGTAGGTAGGGGGAAACAGAAGCAAGTATGTATCTGATGTCTCGATTCTCCAACGTCGGATTCCTCCGCGTCGTCCTACATGCCGGCCATTGCACAGACGATCTGGCGTCGGTCGATTTTATAATTTATGTCGCGAGATCGCCGAAATGGTTTTACGAGCGGTGCCCCCGTGGCACGAATCGCGGGAAACGACGTTTGCGGATTGTGAAACAGGGGCATTTGCGCGCGCTCCACCAATGACGTCATTCCACGTTACGAATTTACCAAGGGGCTGCGAACTTTTCAGTCTTGTGTACGTGTATACGTATGTATATATATATATATATATATATATATCTGCACAATCTTCTGTTCCTCTCTTTACCTCTGTATCTCGTCTTCCTCTATTCATTTCTTCGTTTTTCTTTTTTCTTCTTTGCATAAAACACTTGTCGATGATCAAGTGATTGATGAAAGACTGACGGACAATAGAAACACGATTCTCATTGCGTTTTAGGTATCAGTTATCAAGGTCTTGGGCATCAGTTTGTTTAGCTCTCTTCAAAGATTTAGTTTCCTTAGACGATTATTGTATTTGCTACGACGATATTATTCGACTTTTCCTTTTTTCACAGTTTGTCTCTTATGTTTTGCTTCTGTGTACGTTCTCTTCTTTTGTACACGACTCGTCCACATCTTTGATCCCTTAAATAAAGAGAAATTGTCAATTACGAAGGTCCTGGGCATCAGTGGTTCAGCTCTCTTCAAAGACTTAGTTTCTTTAGCCGATTATTGCATTTGCTGCGACGATATTATTCGGTTTTCCCTTTTCTTTCACAGTTTGTTTCTTCCTTTGTATATGATTCGTGTATTCGTCCACATGCTCGAATCCCTTAAATAAACGGAAACAAATGAAATTGTTATCGAAATAGGATAACTTTACAGTAGAATATATATTCTGAAATACCTCTACTACTTGTTACCATTGCTCTCACTCTAATTTCCCAGCCTTCATCCATCTATCGACTTATCAATCTGCCTTGCCCTTTGCCTTCTCGTAGGCGCAAGGTGAGACCGAAAACGCGGTCCTGTGTCGGGGAAAGGTCGATCGATCGACCGGCGTAACTAACGCCTTTGAAACTAAACGCCGGCGTTTTCTTCCAACGCGTCGAGTGTCCCACGAAAAATCTCCCAACAACTTTCGTCGAACAGCGAGCCTGGAAATGGCCTGAGTTCCGTGATCGAAGTCAAAGCTCGATTCCTTTTCCAAAGCTTTTACAACAGCGCGCCAGCCGGTTCCACTGGCGCTCTTCCGTTTGTCTTTTGGCCTCTGCGCTTTCAGCGGACCGGTTTCTTCGAGGAGACTGAACATTTTCAGAGTGCCACCCGGGGCCACTTTGCCCGGGGTCCTTTTAATTGCTCTTCACATTGTGCTCGCACGGGGGCGAGAATTCAATTAGGTTAGATGGCTTTCATACCAGGGCGAGAATCGATGCGGCAGTAATTAGGTTGGTCTGAAAGAATCACGTATGTGCGATTAGCAAAATACGTTCTGGCGTGAGCGAGGAGAACAGTGATGTCTCTTACCTATTATGCGGCTGATAGTTTGAATGAGAATATGTTAACATCATAGGAGACAGTGTAGACACTCTGTACTGTACTCGGGAGAGATTAAAAACGGTCGATGAACTCGAAGATAACGCTTCGCGTAGCTGCATCCCAGCTCTTCGAATTACTACGAAGAAAGGGCCCTCGAGTTGAAGTTCGGCGAGCCTCCTTTTGAGAAAGAAATTTCGCGTCGCGGCTAGATACGTACATATGTACACACGTGCACACACTTTGTACATGCATACCACACTCGCTTTGAAATGACGATATTTCTGATGAAGAAAAAAAAAAAGAACGTTCATTCACGAGTACGAAGATCAAGCCCACATCCACGCAAACAGTCTGGAAAATGCCATTTTGGTGTTGGAATAATATCGTTGAAAGCAACCGCGGATCAGCCAGCTGGAAGGTTCTTTGCAGAAGCGAAAAAACGATCGGAGTAATCGCGCGTTTTTCTTGATGGCGTCTCTCTATCGGGCAGAGCGTGGTGGTAGGTGGTAAAAGCATAGTCTTGGCGGATCGATCGATCACTCCTTCGGTCGGTGTGGAAACTCGGGGTGGGAAAAATGGGGTGGCAGCCGTGCCAAAAACTCCTCCCACGAAAAATGATGGGCTACCTTAAGATACGGCTCGCTTTCTGGTGCGAGAGTTAAGAGAAGACCGCTCGAGATCCGGGTGACCTCTTTCTTCACACGGTCTTTGCCCTCGTTCTTCGTCTTTTTCTCTCATCCCTTTCGAAACCCGCACACTGGCGCTCCTCCCTCAGCGACAAGCTGATCTCCCGGAAGTGTTGCCTCCGGTCCGGAGGGTGGAAACACCGATCGGAAAATGGAAAATCGTTGTCTCGACTTCTGATCGAGTTTTGCTTCGGCGAGGCCTTCGTCGCAACACTGTGTTTGTTATCTTAAGGTGCTACCTGGGACACGTTTGTAAGATTTCTGTTGTCGAGCACTATTGGACGCTTGCAAATAATTGAGCTTGAAAAAGTCCTTCGATCGATTCGGGATTCATCTCAGAAACTAAGGAATCTTCTGGCTCTGTTTTCCATAGTTTTCCTCTCGAATCTAAAGGCCCAGACCAATTTTTCATTGTTCGCTAGAAGCAGATTTTTCAGATCTTTGAATGAAAATTGCAATCTTGGATTCATCTTCAGAATCAATGATACTTTACGCTGAGAATGAGCAAGTTAAGAAAACCAACGACAATCGACGGATGACGATAGCAACCACCTTGAGTAAACGGCGGATTATCCGTTCGTTGTCTTTCCATCGGGAAAGCTCGGCATCGATCGAGGCAGGCGAACTACTTTTCCACTTTCGGCCGACCTTCGAACGCTATTAGAACTCTTGCGAATCGGAGCTAGCTCGATTCGCTAGCTCCTTCCATTATTACTAGCTCGTTCTTCTCTTCGCACGCCACTCGTTAACGATGACCAGCCAAGAAAACAAAGCCAGGCCAACCAATGGCCCTTCGATCGCCTCGAATCGCAAGATTGTTCTGAAATTAATTGCGAGTTTACAAAAAAATTTAAAGTCCCTCGAAGAGTCGTTCGTCGTCCAAGGAAAAAGTTTCCCACGTACGATCGTAGTTTCGTCGACTCTCCAGGCGATCCTTACTCTTACCTCCGGTTACATTCACGACAAATCGGACAAGTCGCTTCCAACCCGGGATGGGTATCATCGATTCTCTTTACTCTGCTGACTGTTCGCGGACAAAACCCACGGGAATCGCCGCGTAAAAATTCGTGAAAATCGCGTGGAATAGGTGGTTCCAGGCTGGATCGAACCCACCTTTGAGACTACCTGCCCTCCCTTTTGTCGCTTCTTCTCGTCGTCCGTTATATAATAGACGCTCTTTGTCGCGTCCTCGGTTTATTCGCTTAATGGTGGATTAGCTTAACTCTGCGATTCGTTCAGCCAACGAGTCGAGGTATCGAGCTTGCGGAGGTCTTGGACTGGAAATTATCCTGAAACGGAGGCCAAGTGTAAACTCTTTTGTAAAACGTTGAATATTTATTTGTTGGGAGAATCTTCAAATTGGTAGAAATTTTACTGTACCTCGGTTGTACCTGATGATGTTATTAATCTCGGTTTCTCAAGTCATTCACTAGGTTGTTGCTTGTGTTTCGTACACAATTGTTTCAATTGTACAGGGATACTCAATCTATTCATCTCATCTCTTCATTAAAGATGCGATCTTGGTACATTTATACTTACAACAGTTCAAAAGACAAGAGGCTCGACACGTTATCAAGTTCAGTTGATGTTCTCTTGCGACAGATAATCGCGACTTTCATAATCGCGTGAATTACATCGTATATATATATCCCCTGAAATTTATTCCATTTCACCGTAGGAAGTCGGGGCCGTTCAAGTGGCATTCAGAGCCACGGTAATTCCAGAATCACAATTTCAATCCGAAAACGCCCGAGTTCAACGAAAATTCTCGGCAGTTTTTTGTGGAACTGTTGGCGAGCCAATTTTCCTGCCGGGTGCGGGTGCCCTTGCGACTTCCGGTCCGCGCGAACTATCCCGTTTTTATTCAGCGTCCTTCATTTCACTTGCAGATCCAGCGATTCCCTTTCGAGCCGCATTATCTATGCGCTTTAATTCAATTGTCATTCCTCGGAGCTCTCCTCCGCGTTCTGAACAGCTGAAAATATACTCGCGGCAAACATTATGTCCGAAATCAATAAATGCAGCGATACTCACTCGTAAAATGTGTCCGTGAGGCTTTATCGTCGAGCCATTTGTTTTTCCAAGGAGGCGTTTATCGAATTTGTTTCGTTTGATTCACAGTGGAAAACGCTTTTCCAACTTTTGTGTTTAACGTTCCCTTTTTTTTTTTTCCAGGCTAATAAAAGTAGTTCTTTTTTTCTTTTTCGTTAAATGTTTAAAAACTGGATTTTTGAAACTCTGTTTTTGTTTGAAATTTTGGTCGTCAGAGCTTGTCCGATTGTGGATTTACAGGTACGTTTTTCGCACAGTAATATGTGCGTCTCGTTGATTCTCGTGGAAGAGTCGAGTGGCATCGCTCGTCTAAAAAAAGTTAAATTCCACGTGGTTAATTAGTCCTTTGACGCGGCGTGCGATTTTCAACGAGCGTGCAAACGCCGATGCTTCCCGACAGTGCAAGCATCTCTGCGTGGTTGGTTCCAATTGCATTCGAATTTGATCCGTGTGAACGAATCGAGACGTCGTGCGAACGTGTCTGGCACTTTACTCACGGTCAACTTCCTGCAACTGAATGAACAAATGAATTACACGATGCACTTTCAAGTCAACCACTTATTAAAATAAACGAGTGCAAGTGTTGCATTTGAAATTGCAGATCATTATTCACCTATTCTGTCATGTTCCTTTTTGCAGGTCAAATTCACATCCTTCTGCAAATCGAGTTCTTCTACAAATTTCTCTCAAGTCCTAAGCCACTGTAATAAAAGTAAAATCCGACATTATTAAGAAATTTTCTTGTATGCAATAATACTGAAACAAAAGAAAACATAAAATGATATAAAATTAACGTGGAATATTTACATACACATGTGTATGTAGATTCATCGATGATATATTCATATAACTGATTATGACAATCTGTAGGAGTGATTGTTGCAACAGAATGGTTAATAACAATCACTGAATGTTCACAGTTTTGAGTCGAAATATTCCCTGCACAGAACTTTATTTTGGGAAAAACTTCTTCAACGAGGTTCATCATTGGAGAAAGCATGGTGATAGAAATAATAAACTGTTAGTTACTTCACTTTTGACACCCACAAGGTGAATTTGATCTGCAAAGAGGTTAATTTGTAAATGCAAAGAGATGAACATGACCTACAAAAAGGAAAGAATTATTTGCCTCTAAATCACGACGAAGGGAGATCGTTGTTAGTTCAAAAAGTACGCTGTTCAATTATTTTTTTCTCCCTTCAAATTAAAAAAATCAACATGGCGGCAGTGAGAGTGTACGAAGGACCGTCAATAGGAGCAATTTCAACGCGTCGCTGCTACAAAGAGTAATACCCGCTGACAAAGAAACAAAAGATAACGAGGGAACGGGCGAGGATCTGGCGCTGGTGCAACGTCGAGAGAAGAAAAGTAATCTTCCCGTTGAGTGGACCGGGCGTGATCCTGGCTCGAATTGCCCTCCCCGAGATACGGGTGAAAAATCCCTTCGACGATTCTGCTAAGCTCCGTTCGATACGTCTTACGAATGTTCGTGAAATATTTAAAGGTCACGTCCGTGCGTAGTTCCCGTTCTCGGCTTCCATCGGTGTGATAATATCGATGCTATCGACAAGCGTCCGTCAGCGAAGAAGAAAAAAAATGAAAAATTCGGAAAACTTTGCAGTTGTTTCCCCTTTTGCTTCGGCGTCCGGTGACAGCTGACAGAAATGAAGTTTTCGAAACATCCGTCTAACTGGCGGTTGTCGTTTATTCACGTTCCGCGTGGCGTGGCCTCTTTAACCTCAAACTTTGGTACAGGCCGGATGTCTCTCTGGTACTGGTGAACTCTTGAAAATTTAACTCGGTGATTTTAAGTCGGCCACTTGAATCATCCTGCACGATTATTTACTAATTAGCAATATGATAATGAATATATTTAACTGGTGATATATTACTGACAGTGAATGTATTTAATTGATAAGGTGAAACGATAATTAACTGACAAGTGATAATTGCAGGTTACAGATTTCTGTTTTACCAAAACAACGAGTTTTAGCGAAATAAAAGACACGTCAGATGAGATTTACAAAGTCAGCTGAATTGAGAATTGTAAAGTTTTATAACCTTCTTACCTTTGTTGCATAATTCAGTTGAATCTATACATCTATATATATGACACAATCTATATGTAATCTATATATACATATTGTCGTATTACCACACTTGGTACTTATGACAGTGATAAAATTTTCTGACGCCGGTCATTTTTAACTTGTGGCTTGTTCATTCAAAATTCACTGATCATTGATAAATTTAGTTCAGACAGTGTAAAGATATCTCTGAATATTTCTTATAATTTGAATCAATTGTAGTAATGAAGTTGGTCAAGTAGATCGACACAGTGATCGATAAGGGCATCGATATGTGATCGATGAGCGTTCTGCGGCGCCACTGTATGTCAAGCTTGACTGCGTAATTGTGGCGTGCAGGATGCGCGGATTAGTTGACGCGCCGTAGGCGTCGTATAAACGTATTTCCGTGTGAAAACAAAGGAAACCAGCTGCCACCGAGCGTGGATTCGATTCTACCACGTTAATTGACGAGTTTAAATGGCAAATGATGTAAGTGTTGCAAAAGAAAGGCTATATAATACAAAGACTATATAATATTCTATATTTGATATTAGATTTATCGTACTGAGGAACTGGAGAATAAAGCATGAAAGTTGCAGCAAAGAAACGAGACTGAAAGTTATCTACAACTTTCCAAGCACGTTTCTACTGCAAATTTACAAAATTCTACGAATTCTGCTCATTTTTGCTATTCTAACGACTTTTTAGCGCAGACGCGGGTCCGCGATAATTTTAGTTTCTTAAGTTATCGCAAGATAGAGCTAAACTCGCAACTGCCAATTTTAAACATCCTTTTTTCACCGGAAATCGCCGCCAGTGGCACTTACGTCCCCTATCGATTCGTACGTGTGTTCGCTTGAACTCGTCAATTGGCGTTTAGGAAAGACTGGATGATTTAAACATATCGCGGCAATTTTCAGCAATTCGGCTGATTTAACTTTGTAACCTGGATATAGCGAGCCGCGGATCCCCGTCGTTTCGGAAGTTCGATCGATTCGAGGAAAGAGGTTGCACCCGAAAAACGCTTTAGCCTCGGAAATCACCGGCAAACAAACGGTTACGCCATTGGGACTCGCTGATTGGAAGACCGATGAAACCCCGCGACGTGATTGGCGTTGTTTTGAATCCGTCGGTTGAGCTCTCGAGTGCACGGTCCGTTGTGCGGACTTTTTCCACGATTCAGGGTATTGTTGCTTTTTCCTCGATTTCCTCATCACGTCACGTGAAACGCTTGCATTTTTCTTCGAGTTTAGGATTAGGATCAGCATTTCGAGAGGCGAAGAACTCGAAGAAGAACGAAAAAGTCGTCATTACGATGCCAGTACATTGTCGTATACACAGGGTGAGTCAGACTAGAAAGTGCAGCTGATACATTTCACGCAATTAATCGCATCCAAAAATGTTTTTAGATGCAAGAGGAGCATTAATTGATGTAATCGTTATTTTCAACGTAGATGTAATGGGCGTTTGAAGGTGAAATTATTATATATGTTTCCAATACATTATTCGATTCGGCTAGTCATTTTCTATAAAAAAAAAAAAGTATTAAATGTACTGATGTTGATTAATGTGAAATATTCTTTAAGAATTGAACTACAAAAGTGTTTAGACGTCGATAGTTATCTGGATCATTAATCACTTTGAGCACATTTTGTCATAACTATAATAAATAGTGAAATAAATTTTTATTTCGTTCTAATCACAACAAATAATTAACAAACGTCACACAATCTCCTGTTATTACTATTATGCCACTATTACAATTCGATACTCTGCGAGTATTATTATATTATTTTAATTAAAATATCTTCTGAATTAATGGATTTTCGCCATAAATGGTTCAATACTTTTTCATAAGGTTGAATCGAATGATGTAAGATTAAGAGATTTCAACTTAAAAAAGAAACAAACGCAACTTTCAAAACGTTTTCTATGCATTCATATTAAATACAATAATTACATCAATCAATACTTCTTCCAAAACCATCCAACTTTTACCTAAAACACTTTTTAGTACACAGTTAATCGTTTCGAAAATATATGAATTTTTAGTCTAAGCTGACTCACTCATACAGAATGATATAAAATTGACGTGAATCCATATTTAAAATTGTATTGGAAAATTCATAAAAATGAATGCGTAACAATGATAAACAATGATATTAAAATTGAAATATAATCAATAATTGTTGAAGTACTGTAATATTATTTCTACAATTAATAATTATTGAAATATTACAATTATATTATATTACACAATTATTATATTATATTATATTATACAAAATATTACAATTATATTATAATTACAACCAATAATTATTGAAATATTACAATTATAACAGTTTAATAGCTATCAGGAAAGTCAATCAATTAAACTGCTGTTCTAATGTCATTCTCTCTTCTGATTTTAGTTGCCTTCGCATCGTTCAAATTTTTCCAATTAATTGCACAGCTTGCCACGCTCCATGGATTTGATCGATCGAGCGCCAAAGAACGGGAAACCGGAAATCTTCGTTTTTCGTTTTGTCCCGCGCTCGGCAAACGTCGCAGTATTCGGAGACAGGATTTCATCGTCAATCAAATGCTTCCACTCCAATTATTCTCATCTTTCGGGAAGCTCGGGGATCGAAAGCTGGGGGAAGGGGCCGCGGGCACTGTTACTCTAGCGATCGCATCGTCGCAACAATCTTCTCCCCTCGTTTCGCGCAAATACGACTCCGACGGATCCACGTAGATTAACTCGCCGCGATTTATTGTCAGCTACGTGAAAACGCAATTTTATCATTCACCGTTGGCAGCTCGACGTTCACCGCGTTCGTGCAGAGAAACAGCTCGCGCTTTAACATTAATGCTCTCAGCGCACTGAAAATTGTCCCCCCCTCCCCCCCCCCTGACGAAATTATAAAATCTCCGCGTGCAAGTTGTAAGTAAATGGCAGATATCGGAATCTAGAAGCGAAGATTTCTTTCTCCCAAGCAACGTAGCAATTTTTCTTAGAGATAAGATTTAATTAACAGTTCGGCTAGAAGACAAAGGATCATGTAAGAAACCAAAAATACTAATTCTAACTTTCTAATTCTTTTTTCCCTTTTTCATTGCAGCGCCTGGAGGAGCTCGTGTGTTCGTAATCGGATCCTCGTTTAAACTAGTCTCGCCGAGTCTCGCCTGCCGTCGAGAAGCAAGTCACCACAAAGGACAAAGGGGGAAAAGAGAAACACGAGGAAGCGAGAATCGGGCAAGAACGATGTGACCGAGAACCTCCCTTGGGCTACGTCCCCCTGTTTAAGGGATGTCCTCCTCCGCGGGCACCAGCTGCACCGACGCCGAGGAGGACGCCGAGGATGTGGAGAACGAGGTGGCAGGTAGCGCGCAATCGTCTAATTACTTGCCGTTTCCGGGTTTCCGTGATAGCGCGCGCGATCACCTGGAAGGACTGCGGTTAGATGGGTCATCGATCGTTGTTGGTCCACCAGCCGAGGACACTTCCGCGAGCCCATCGACGTTGTCGTGGTCGGTGCCTCGATAAATCCGGATCATCGTTCTCCATCGCCAGCCGCTCCTCCACCTTGTCATCTTCCCGACGTCGGTCGTCGGTCGTTGGTTGGTCGTCGACGACGACGGCGACGACGACGAAGAAGAAGAAGAAGAGTCGCGTCAGGTCTGCATCTCCTCCGTCGCGAGTCGCGTTCACGGGGGACGCGGAGCTGGATCACGTACCAAGCTGGAGGAGGTACAGGAACGCTGATCGCTGGGGCAACGGAGGACCGTTCGCGTTCAGGTGACGACAGAGACGTCTAGGTTACCGCCAGGTGGATCCGGAAATCGTCCAAGATCTAGCCTGGATAATTCGCGTTGTTACCAACTACGTTCACAGTTTCGTTTTTTTTAGTAATACGGCGCCGGTATTAGCCTCGAGTATTCTGTATTGTATAATACCTACACGTAGGGAGAAACTGTTGGGTGCCGTGTCGGAGAAATCAAGAAGATTGTGTCGGTCCGGCCGGTGCCAGTTGTCGGAAGGTCAGAGGACCCCGAAGGTCGAAAGTTCAGAGGAACGTTTCCGGTCCTTGTCCGCGCCGTCGTGCGAAGGTGCGAACTAATCCTCGGAGAAGGATTTACACGGACGTGTACGGGACAATTGGCCGAGCGTGTTGCCATACTGCTACAGCGTGTTCGATAGCGGGTTTGCGGCGGTTTGTGTGCTCGTTTGGACCGGTTCCAGGCGGACGTGAAACCGCCGACAGGTGATTCGGACGATACCACAATGGTGAACTACCCTCGGATCATGGCATTCAGTTAGTGAATTCGTGCCTCAGCTCGTTGTCGCGCGTGTGCAGCTGTCTGACGAAAGTCTAAAGAGAGAATAGAAGTGAACGAGGGGGAAGGAGGAGAATTGCGAAGAGAGGGGAAGAAGTTGGGACATGTGGCGAGAAAGACAGCACGTGATCGTCGTAGCCAGAGGCTGGACAAGGTCCTGATAGCTGCAGCGACCAGGATCCGGGATCATCCAAGGAAGAAAGGATGCCAGGGGGGCGCAGGGGCTTGGTCGCCCCGCAAAACACATTCCTCGAGAACATCATTAGACGGAGCAGCAGTCAACGTGAGTGCGACCTGATTTTTTTTCATTGCTTTCCTTTTTCTATTGATCATTTCATATATATATATACATATGTACATGTATGTGACTAGACTGTGGATGTTTATGCATTTATACAAAGGAAATTTCAAAGGGCAAGAATCTACAGAATCTATGGAATGTATGAAAATGTATAAAGTATATGTACAAGATAAAACGCCAGTCAAAACGATTACGTTAACCAAAAGGGCAGAAGTAAAGATGTAATAACGCATAGAAATTGTTTTGAGCAAAATGGTATTTTCTGGGCGAAGGAACCAACCTCACTTTGAGGATAGACAACAACTGAAAAAAAGTGTAAAACGAGTTTCTTTGTACTTTCAAACGGCCGTAAACGACCGCGTTTCA